GGTATGAAGTTTATTCATTTAAAAAAAGTACAAAACAATTCCATAACAATATATAAAAAGATACAAAAAAATTTAAAATGAAAGGCAGCAGAAAGAAGAAAAAATCTTATTTTATCTGCCCCTTTTTTCAAACAATTATTTCAGACATATTAATATATATATGTACGTTAGGGGTGTAACTACATTGATTTAAATCAATACATCGATTAAATGATTAATGATTCAAAACTAAAATATCAATTCATAATGTCATCTTTAAAATACGCTTTTATTTTGAAATTCCCAAGACACGTCTGTCACCATTTCCATGCACGGCTGCGCTCTGTGGCCACCTCAGCAACATGGCAGACGAGGCAAAAAACAAAGATAACGAAATTCACCCTCGTGCTGGATTTAAATCAACACTGTGGAAATATTTTGGATTCCGACAAAAGGACGGCTCAACAGACAAAACTCTTGCCGTATGCAACAGGAGCCAGTGTGAGTTAAAATACTTGGGAAACACAACAAATTTGGCCATTCACCTGAAGAAGAAACACGGCATTGATAGCCATGCTATGTAAGCTCAATATCTAATTTTGTTTCTTGTTTTTTTTTCCTTGTCCTGTTCAGCATTGTGACACTTAGAATTATTGTCTGAGTGTCAAAGTGATGCCCAACAGATATACTTTCACAAGCAGAGCATTATGGCTGGCCTTAATGCTCCACCTGATATATAAATAAAACTTTATTAGAATTTGCTTTGGGTTTGTTTCAGATGTAATGGACACGGGGATGAAAAAACTAAGAAGAAAACAAAGCAGAAAAGTGGGAGAAGGGTTAAAAGGGAAAGAAGGAGATAGGAGTAGACAAGAGAGAGAGGTATAAAGAGAACACAAATCAACATCATTGAAGTCTGCCTCTAGACACGCGGAAAGAAAAAAAGACAAAACTGAGAAACCACAACAACAAACAACATATATAGATACTTATAACATCATTAGAAAGTATTTTATACATTACATGGTAATACAAGATGTATTTAGTGGCCACCACAACCCAATTGAACAATTGAGTGTGTATCTGATAAACAAAACACCTGTGTGAGCATGCTGGTTAATATAAGGTTTCTTCATAAGAATGTTCAATAGTGGATGTGGGGACCCACAGACCCGTCCCCACAGGACACAATGGTAACACAGGGAGGACCGGAGCCACAGACACACAGCAGGCCCCAAGCCCGGAGCGCTGGGAGTCCTCCCAACAGGGACAACCCC